ACAAAATATTGCTGAAGTCATCTAAGAGCAGATAGAACAACAATACATAGAGAACTTCCAGAAGTGTAATCATTGCTGATGTTGGAAGGATCCTGACTAAAAGCACAGAATATCAGAAGAAAGTCTATCTATGCTTTATTGACTCTACAAAGGTATCTTACTGTGGATCATAACAAATTATGGCTAACAATGACAAGAATGGGAATCCCAGAACATTTAATTATGCTCATGAAAAATCTACATCAAGACCAAAAAAAGGTATTTTCTAAATAGAATGAGGGAAAATCACAAGGTTTGAAATGAAGAAAGTGTGCATCAAGGTTGTATTCTTTCTCATATCTATTCAATATGTATGCTGAGTAACTGATTTCTGGACTGTTTCTATGAAGAAGAATATGGTGTCAGGATCAGAGGAAGGCTCATCAATAACTTGCATTATGCCAATGACACAACCTTCTTTGCTGAAAGTAAGAAGGATGTTAAGCACTAGCTGCAGAAGATCAAAGACTACAGCTTTCAGTATGAATTACATCTCAATATTTAGAAAACAAAAATTCTCACTATGACCAACAAGAAACATCATGATAGATAATAATTAAAATTGTCAACAACTTTACCTTCCTGCAATCCCTTGGTACCAGCAGTCAGGAGAACAGGAGATGGACAGCCCATGGAAAGTCTGCAGTCAGGACCTTTCCAAATTATTGAGAAGCAATGATTTAAGTTTGAGGACTTAGATGCACTTAATTCAAGCCCTGCTCTTTTCAATCATTTGCTATGCAACTGAGAGCTGGACAATGAATAAGGATGACAGGTGAAGAATTGATGCCTTTGAGTTGTAGTGTTGGAGAAGAGTACGATTATGTGTTCTGCCAAAAGAATAGATATGTCTTGGAGAAAGTACAGAGTATTCATTGAGGAAAAGGACAAAAATTCATCTTACATCCTTTGTGAATATTCTTAGGAGAGGCAATTCCTTGATGAAAGACATCATGCTTGGAAAGTGGAGGGTGAGCAAAAGAGAAGAAGGTCCTCAATGAGACGTACTGACACGGTGATCAAAGCAAGGAGCTTAACTACGTCAGAAATAATGAGGATTCCACAGGATAGGACATGGTTCAGATCTGTTTTCATAGGGTTGCTTGTGAATCATACTTAACACAATGTCATCTAAAATAACAAGTGATATCTAAAAAAATCATAACTTTTTCCTCCATAGATTATGTCTGTAAAATGCATGCATAAATGTGGAATATTAGCACACAGGTTTTCAAAGCCAACATAAATACTTGTATTAAAACATACAGTCCAATGAAATTCTTTTTGCTCAGTTTGGATTTATAAAGAAAGAACAAAGATTTTTAAGTATTATTTTATTTTAAAAATTCACATATTTCATCTGTAAACATAAGATTTATTTTTTTAATAATGGAGAAATAAAGAAAAAGTAACTGGTGTAGTTGAACATATTAACAACTGTATAAACATAGTATTTGCAGAGAAATAATTCAATTGATCAAAATATCACAACACTAAATTTCACAGTTAAGCCACATGCAGACTGTACAATTATGTCACAGAATGTGTTTGATGAATGTGTTAAATATAAAAATAATCCAATTTCCATTCAGTACATTGTACATTCAGTACAAGACTCATTTATAATGGCATTTAGAATTTTTCACATAAGGTGCTATGAACTCAAAAGTGCTTTATAATATTGAGGTAAAATCAGGGAAAAAAGAGTGAGAAGCTCCACAGTAGTACAGCTTAGTAATAAATGAACTTGGGCACAATGTAAATACTCTTAAAGGAAACATAGACAACAAACATCTATGATAATGCAGGATGATGCTCATCCTTCAGTATATGGTGTGACAGGAGGACTTCATATACACACCATCACAGTCATAAAAATGAGATTTAGAGTAAATGTACAATTTTATAAGTGATTCTTATTATTTACTAGAGAGAAAATGAGAGAATGAAGAAGCAAGAGATACATGGAGAAAACAGAGTGGACCAGAGAGACAGAGAGAGAGATACAGACAAAAATAGACAAAGGTAGAAGTTCACATACTGCTTCTACAAACAGTTTCCCAACTGAAGCTAACAAAATCAAGACTTCATGATAGCAATTTTCGGATTTAAGAATACATCAGAGACACCTGGAGGGCTTGTTAGACCACCAGTTTCTGGGCTCCAGTCACTGAGTGTACGGTGGATCTGGGCATTTGTATTTCAAACAGACAGGTGATGTTGATGCTAACTAATTGAAGGGACACATTTTGAGAGCCACTGGTCTGTTTTGTTGTTGATAATTAAATGGCTCCATTATTTACTAAAATGAAAACCACCAAAAAGATAGTATATATGCATGTATGTATGTTGTTATCAGGTGCCATCAAGTTGAGTATGACTGAGAGTGACCCTATGACTATCCAATCTGAAACGTACCTTATCCTGTGCCATCCTCATCATCTCTAAAACACTAGAGCCCATTGCTATATATCCATATGTATCAGATATAAACCGTCAGTTTGGAAAGTGATAATGCATGCACATACCCAGACCCGTATAAAACTAATTAAATCTGAATCTCTGGGGCAGCTTCAAAAAATGAGTCATTTATGCAAGTAATAATGAAATTCTAATATGTAGTCCAGCTAGTGATGTATTGCTTTAGGAAATTCACACAGAAAAAAGGTGGCCAAGCATATGTGCTCTATTCTAGGTCCTATTAAGCAGTCCTAAGTCATAGTAAGTGTTGGAATACTAATGAAAAGTCAGCTGCTCAAACCCACCAGCCACTCCACTTTGAAAGATGAATCACTCCAAATTGAAAGGTGAATCAATTTCTCCCACCTTAAGATTTATAACCTTGGAAAACCCAATGAAGGGTCACTATGAGTCAAAATCAACTTGAAGGCAATTGGTTGGTTTGGATTTTGATATGTGAATAAGAATGTCTTTAAAGGAATAAAAATTCCAAAGAAACCACAGTGATACACAATTAGGAAACAATATCAAGGGTAATTTGGAAAATGATTGTCACTGTTGATAGACAATGCCCTGCAGGATTAGTTCACAGGTTTGAAATATCAGAACATTGCAAAGTGAGAGGCACATTAATTTAATCCAAGTTTCCTTTCCTTTGAATGGAATTAATCAGAGCCTAGGACCTAAGATGTTAAAATATGTATTACCTGCCTTAATTATTATATTTCCCTTCAGCTAAATTATTTATTGCTTTGATTTAAATTTGAGTACCCCGAAAAATAAGATCTTTAGCAATGAAACACAGCAAAATATTCTTTTCACAATTTCTCTGGGCAAGTAGAATTAGAAGCACAAAAGCAAAATACACTCTCAAATACTATTTCCACTTTAAATCACTTCCCTGGCAAAAAGAGAAAGTATGACAATTCAAAGTATAAGTGAAGGTGCATGCATGAAATCTTTTTCTAAAATGACTTGTAGGTCTGAAACAATAATTTAGCACTGATTAAACATAGGACTTTCTTTGCTTCCTTTCATAGTTATTAAAGGCCCAACCCCATATTTTAAATTAAACACCCCGGTATGGAATGAGGGCTAATATTTGATTGTTAAATAAAAAGGAATTTAAATAAACCTCAGACGTTAAGATTAGACCTTTCAGGTGAATCTTTGGTAAAAGTCAAACATTTGAAGACCATTGTTTTGATTTGAATACAGACATGTCAGCCGTGTAGAATCTATAATGGCCTAATGGTTCTCCACTAGGGACCACCTTTCCTAAGGACTATCCTATAGATCTATTTTAGATGTTCTCAAGGCATTGCTTGTGCTACTGATTTGTTCCAACAGAATGGGAAACACAAGAACATTGAATTTTTTTTTTCAAAAAGTTAAATTTATATTCCTAGTGAGATACTCAGATGAATCATTTTCCACTCTTCATGTCTTCCAGAACATATCTTTTAAATACCCTAAAAAAAAAAAAGTATTAGCATGAATACTCAGGACGATAGCAACTGGGAACTGAAAATGTGAGAAAATGTCAGGAGATGCCAAAAATAATTTTTCTCTGTAGTTCCAGTCTTTAATATCACACATCATATACACAACCCCTCCTTTTCCTCAATATCTCTTACACATTCACACCACCACATATGCGTACTTATCTTCACAAAACTATAGAAAGAAAAACACAGTGTATTTAGTTGCAAATAATCACAGACAATCTTCATGCATTCTTTTAAACAATGAATGGGAAAAGAATTCTGGAATAGAGTTTAATTTGTTACTTCTGTGGTATATAAATGAAAAAGTGAAGCTGTCTCTCACTCATTCTGGCATTTGCTACCCTATTTTCCTCTGTCTCTCTTCTTTGGGGCTCTGTAAGAGTGCTACTTGGCATACCTGGGTGGTGCACATGGATTACCATCTTGGATGAAAGGCCTGATGATCTAAACTTGATCTAAACCTTGAAAATTGATTGGGGCACACAGGTCTATGCTGACATAAGGGTCATCACAAAGCAGAATAGTCTCTTACTGTCTTTTAAAGAGGGCTGCAAGGGAGGGAAGAGGGGAGAACAGGGTGATGATGGGTGGGAGGCATAATCATAGGGCCACACAATTTGATGGGTGGAGGGAGGGGTGAGTTAAGGAAATGGAAAAGATTTAGTGTGAAAAATAATATATACATAATTTGTAAATAAACCAGTATAAAATAAAATGTTTTAAAATAAACAAACAAAAGAGGCTTGCAGATGTCACTCCTTAAAGTTACAATGAAAATGTGGGTCTCTGTGTGTCCCTTGTCCCCACTGTCATCGTACCCAGCTTTCACTGGCACCAGACTTAGCAGCAGGGAACTGTCTGTGAGTATATATCTGTGAAGTCTGCTTGTATAAAAGAGACCATTAAAGACCATTCAGCACACAGGTGATGAGCCCTCACTCCTGCACACTGCTCCGACTTAAACTCACCGTCTGCTTTGTAGTCTCTGAGGCCTCACTCCTGCACACTGCTCCGACTTAAACTCACCGTCTGCTTTGTAGTCTCTGAGGCCTTCCCAGGGTTCTGGCCAGTATGTGCATCCTTGCTTTCTCTTTCCACTGAATGCTCTTGCTTCTCCTGAGTTTCAGTGAGATCAGGTTTCGCAGGTAGTGTTTCCACAGTCTGTAGACTCTCTCTCCCTGGCTCTGACTCTCTCTCCTGTGATGGTCTGAAGGCTTCAGTTGCTCCTGACTCTGGCCCCCTGTCACTGCTCCCTGTTCCCACCTCCTCTTCCACTGATCCTGCTCTTGGTGTCCTTTCCTCTTCCCCTCCCTCTCGATCACCCCCTAACTGTGGGGCATCTGCTTCCCCTTCTGAATCTAAAGGTTTTTGAAGAGCTTTCATTTGAACTTCTGTTGTTGATGTCCCTGTCACCTCTTCCACCTCTGGTACCGCCTCGCTGCCCAGTATTGCTTCCTGTATCCCCATCCTCTTTGGAGAAGCTGGTTTTCCTACCAATTCACCCACTTCGTGCCCAGTTTCCTCCTCAGCAACATCTGATATGGAAGAGGCTTTATTTGTTGTTTCTCCCTCAGTCCTCATCACATCAGTCGATTCTCCCATTTTCTCTGTGGCCATTTCTAATGTTTCTCCCTCATTGAAAGCTTCCTCAGCAACAATTGCTCCTTTTTCCAGTATCTGGAACTCCTTTGTCCTCTTGTTCTTCATTCCCTTTCCAACATTGCCCTCTTTAACTTCTTCTTCCACATCCACACCCACTCCTTCACTGAATGTTTCTGCCCTCATGGAGTCCCTTTCAGGAATCTCCTGTTGGCTAATCACTGTGTCCCCTACTCCTTCTTGCTTCTGAGAAGACCCTTCTTCCTCCTTTCCCGGCAGGTCTGCAAGACAATCTTGACCTGCAGTTGCACGCTCCTGCCCCTCACCTGGGGTTATGATGGTCACCTCAGGTGCCCGGGCCTCCCCAGGGGGCTTACTTACAGGAGATCCTAACACACCTTCTTCATCGTATTGGGGTCCCTCTTCCTTTTCTGGTGGCATCACATTCTCCATGCAGAATTGCTCTGATTCACCTTTATGCTCTGTGTCTCTGGCTTCTGTCAGTGTTTCCTCACCTTCTTTCCAAAGAGCGGCCACATTTTCCCATGACTTTTCAAATGCAGGTCCTTCCTCAAACATGGAAGTCCCTCTGAGAGGTAGTGAATTTTCACTTTGTGACGCTGCATTGTCAGTCAATTCCAATTCCTCCACAGGGGCTATGTTCTCCACATTTGACTCAATTTCCTTTGTAGGGGTTTTTGTCTCGTTCTCTGTTCTGCTTTCTTTCACTGTTTCTTCCTCTTCAGAAAATTTATCTTCTAATGCTTCTTCACACCTGAGTGTGTTTGTCCTTTTCACCTCTTCTCTTTCAGATTCAGTTTCCCTCAGATATGTTTCTGCCTCCTCAGGTTCCTTCCTTTCTCTTGCTATATCTACCTCCTGAGATAACATTTCTTTCCTGTCATTGTCTCTATTCACTTCTGCCTCTGTCACAATCTTCTCCCTTTCTGTATCTTCCCCCCTTCCTTCTTCAGAGCTGTTCTGCCAACTCATCAGATTTACCTCTGCTTTCTCAGAGACTGAGATGCTCAGAGATGCATCCAGTACCATCATTTCCTCCAACTCTTTGGCTGGTTCCTCTCCCTCAACTATAGCTTCTTCTAGACCATCCTTTCTACTGTCTGGTTCTTCATCTACAGACCTTACATTCTCTAGGTTTATGAATGTTGCTTCTCCTGTTTCTTCCTCATCTGCTTTCTCAGACCCTGTTTCATACATAGTAGCCTCTCTCTCAGTTTCTCCCTTCTCCAGTGGCATTGTTGCCTCTCCACAGGCCTCTTTCAGATCTGTTGAATCAACAATGTACTCTGAATTTAGAGATGCTGTTTTCTTTTCAAGCACTGACTTCTCTGAAACCTGTTCCTCTTCAGACACTACCTTGTCTTTCTCTAGCACAGTTTCCATCAAGCCTTGCTCATCAGGAGTCCCATCTTCATTCAGACTTGCAGCGTTTCCCACTGTTTCTTTTCCTGTTGGGCTTAACCCTTCTTTACCTAGATTTATAACTCCTGATGCTGCTTCCCCTGCCACATTCATAATGTCCTCTTGGACCTCTCTTTTCACAGTAAATTCTGCTTCTGCTAATATTGGCTGCACTGCTATTGTTTTCCATTCCCCAAAAGGAATTTCATTAATCTCTATAGTCTCCAACAACGTTGTCTCCTCTTTACTCTCTACTCTGTTAGTATTCTTGTCTTGGGAAGCTTCCTCTTCCTTAATGGCTTCTTTTTTCTCCATTGTGTACACTTCTGCTATAACATTTTCAGATTCCTCATCTGAGTTCAGAACTGGTCTTTCTTCCATCATTAAATTCCCATTTGGTGCTATAAATATTGGAAAAAGAATGATATTTAATCCAAGTCAGTGAAGAGAGATTTACATATATTTGATAATAACTTATATGTGTATACAAGATATATATATATATATATAAAATAGCTATATCAAGGGGCAGCTGATATTTTATATGAAAGAGTTCCCTGATTTTATGATGCCAGATTCTATAGTTAATACTATTCTTTCTTTCTTTCGTCTTTTTTATGATGAAAATAAATGCTAACAAATATAATACATATCTTGAGTTTAAAGAAATATTGAGCATCATAAACTTTGAAGAAAAGTTTTAAAATCAATGAAGTGGGAGGGTTTACACGTATATACCTAAACACAATATGTACACAGGTACACCATCTATTTTCCTTTGACATATTAAGATCTGTGTAAAACTACACAATAAGGAAAACAGTACCAATTTAATATAAAAATTCTGAGTCATCCTTTCCCCACATTTCTGGTTCAAATATTATTTAGCAGCACAATAACAATAATGTTTGAAATGATTATTATGCTATGTTACTACTATATTTTACAGCTTATGTATCTAGATTTAAGGATCTTTGGAGATACAGTAATTAGCAGTTTAGCTGGTAAAAGAAAGGAGGAAAGTTCAAAACCACCCTCCCGCCATCCCACTGGAGAAAGATGTGGTCACTTTGGAAACCCCATGGAATAGTTTTACTTTGTCACATAAGGTCACTATGGCATGTTACTAATTTTCCTGGAATGAGTTGTGAACAATTTGTTTTAATTTAGATTAAGTCATCAGATCACTTTGTACTTAAAGATAATTTTTTCCCCCCTGAAGATCCCAATTTGTATTACAGGTCAGGATAGCTTCTATCTACGCTCAGAAACAGATTTGCTTTAGGCAAAAGAAGATCACAAAGCAAGACAAGACTTTATAGTTCAGGAAAATTTTCAACATAAATAACCTTCTTGAAGTATTTTAAAAGTTCTCATCCATAATTCCTCTGGCAAATACCAATGTATTAGATAGAATACTTCAATAACTATAAATACAATATGGTTTCTAAAAGCTTTAAATGTATTTCTTGTTTGAGGAAGACTTGTATTTTTGTTGGCAGAATAAAAATAAGTAAAGTCATGTCATGTCAAATACCTAAGGCATTTTCATTTTCAATTGTCAAATAATACTGCAGGTAATAGATCTTCCAAAATGGTAATTTTAATAGTCTTGATAATCTGATCCTTTATTTCATTTATAAAAGACACTATAAAATAAGTTATTATGTCAAGTGTCAACCTCCATCATTGCTGTTGTTTATATGTTGTTGAGTTGACTGTGGCCCTTTGAAAAACAGAACTGAAACTTGCCCTATTCTGTGCCATCCTCAAGAGCTCTGGCATGCTGGAGCCTGCTGTTACAATCACTGTGTCAATTCATTTTGTCAGTCTCTAGATGGCAGATTTAAGAACTAGGTAAATATGTCAATTTTTTTCATTTTTTGTTGCCTTCTTAGCTAGTCAGTTAACCTTAAACCCCATTTCACCAACAGTGTATCATAAAACTAAAGCCCTGATGTTAATACCTTGTTAATAACGTCTCCTAGCAGAAAACATGCTTATCCTTTGTTGTACTCCTTCAACTAATATTATAATTCATTTTCAGGAGGGGCAATAATAACCAATAAATAACTCCTAAAACAATGTATCTAGAAAGAAACCTTTGATGTCTCCCTTCAAAAGAGTGAAATGCAAATTTCAGCTCAATCAATGGAATAAATGTGATTTTATAGTTGTTCTCCAGAGTACAAGGCTAGTTATTACTTAAATTGTACCAAGAAATTCCCAAAGGGAAATTTAGAAGCAAGTGTTTGTTCACAGAACATACATTCAAGTCACCCGGGAGACTATAGCACATTATGCTTCATTAGAGATTGCCACTAGATTTAAGAAATAATTGAGATGAAACAATGAGGAAACAAAAATAAATATGTCTCAAGTCTTTTAAGGTCATACTTGTTGTTTATTCATATTTTGTGAAAATATATTTAAAGGTCACCTCTGAGAAATAGTTAAATGATGCTTATTGTTTTGCTAAACTGGATCCTAAGAGTTAAAATGCAGGTTCTGCCACTTACTGGTTGTATGAACTTTGGAATAAAAATCTCTCTAAGCCTTCACTTTGTTATGTATAAAATGGGAATAACAGAATCCATGTGAAGGTTAAATGAGATAATTTATGTGAAATGTCTAACTGGTCCTCTTCCCACGCTCTCCTAACACTGCAAACCATTATATTTCGTTTGAAACAGAATTCATTTCATCAACATGTATACTGCAAGTACCATGCGACTAAGCAAAAAGTTGTGTCTTCAGTGGTTTTTTTAATTCACTAGCACCTCCATCTAAGAAAGAGAAGCAGTCTCCTCTTGTTAAGATTTACAGCCTAAGAAACCTGATGAAAGGCTGTTATGAGTCTGAATTGACTAGGAGGTTTGGCAATAGTAACTTCGTTGGCTTTTGGGGTGATTTGTTCTGTGTTTTTAAAAGATGTCAGAATTACATCATGCTTGAAGGGTTTTGTTTCTCTGGTTGAGGGAGTTTTATTCAAGGGGCAGAGAGTATTCAAAGATCTATATGAAATAGTGTGTTATTTATGACTATATTAATTTTATTTCTTTTAATTATTCAAATTATGGCTTTTTTTCATTTGGAGAATTTACACTTCTCTTCAAAATGTAGTATGCTCCTTTGTTGCTTATCATTTAAAAAAATAGGACTAGATGGCAACTCTTGTCTGATGCTTTTTTTTCTAGGACACATGAGCATATTTGCAGGCTCCTCCTGACAGTCTCTGAAATAGACATGAATGTTCTACCACGTAATGAGCAGCTGTTCCATTGCAGTTTCTCTGTTGAACACTTCACACCCATTACTGATAATCCTTGCACATCCTATCAAAGTAAATAAGGTTGACAAAATTCAAAAAAGACTCAGAAGCTGACATTATACAGGAGTTCATACTATAGGCAAAGTATGAAAGGTGCACTATGAATAAAGAAGACAGACGAAAACTGCTGTCTCTGACTTGTGGTGTTGGAGAAGAATGCTGACTATCCCGTGGGCTGGTAAAAGATACACAGTCTGTCATGGAGGAAATGCTACCCTTAGAGGCAAGGATAGTAAAACTTTGTCTCACATACTTTGGGCATCTTGTCAGGAGGGAGCAGTCCTAGGAAAAAGACATCAAGCAGGGAAAGGTGGAGGGTCAGAGAAAGACAGGAAGTTCCTCAACAAAATAGATTGAAACAAGACTCTAACAAGCAGCTCAAGTTGGAAGCAGGAGTGGCATCCACTTCTTAAATAACACACCTCTGGAAACCCTATAAACCTATAAATGTCCATGGTTGTAGAGCGGCCTCAAGCCATTTGTTCATAGGACTGCTAGGAGTTATGCTCAACTCGAATGCAATCAAGAACAGCAACAACAACAACATATCCGAGGTGGTGAGGAAAGTGCAGGATAGGCCAAAGTTCAGATCTGTTGTTCATAAGATCTTTATGAGTCATAGTCAACCTGAGGGCACCTAACAACAGCAGCACCAATTAGCTTATTTCCCAAGGTTCAGTGCTGAATGGTGCTTATAATTGGAATTTGAATATAAGGCTTTCAAGTCTTATGACCAAGAACTAACAAACCAGCTAGAACCTGTCATTGAAAGACAATTACCCATGAATTCCGTATGTGCTTTCACATTTTGTGAGCCTACACTTACCCTTTTTTAAAAAAGACAATCTTTTCAAGGATATTTGCATAATAAATAGCCTTAGAAGATGAAATGTTCCCCTCTAAAGCATAGGAGATGTTTGTTTACTATGCAGTATAATAAGATAATGCTTCTTTCTAGAGCAAAGATCAGGCACGTCTATGGCCTATTATAAAAGATATAGTTTTTCTAAGCTTGGGCTTCTTTCCTATAACTCAGTTTTCTGCATGTGCAAGTGTCACCTGACACTTTTCATGTTGCTTGGGGGGAATTGGTATTTAGGAAACCAGCATAAATGCAGATACCCTATCTACCGCTATCTGCCATGAGTAATAAATTCTTTTCTCTCTTATCAAAGAGTCTTGGCTCTTCTGCCAGCATCCATGAAACTGTGATGACAGGCTTAACCTGTTTGCTTAGAAGTAGAAGACAAAAACTCTAATGCTTCACAGTTCTCAACAGATATCATTAGGAATTAGAGATGAGAAGAGAGGCAGAGGGGAGCAGAGATCAGCAGATGGGTGGACAAAATGAAGGGAAAGAAAGGTCCAGGGAGGATTTGATGTTGTAATAAATGGCATGGGTCAGTTCCAATTAATATTGTAAAATAGCATAGGTAAGCATGATTGAATAAATGCCAAAAAATAATAGAGGTGAAATTCATGTTATTAATACATGCATACACATATATTTTAAATAATAAATTTGTTATGCGGAGGCAGTGCGATTGGCACTGGATAGAGCAGGGTTTAGGGCTGTTGTGCATAGGGTCACTATGAGTCGCAAACGACTCGACGGCACATACATAACAACAACAACAACATGTTCTCCACTAAGTATGAGAAAATCTGATTTCAAAGATACAGCAAGTTCAAGTAAATGTTTATTTGTCATACCCTTTTAGATTATTTTAATTGGAAGTTTTGAGGCTGGGATATTTGTAACCCAGGAGTAAAGTCACTGAATGATGAAGAATCAATGAAATTAATTCTTCTCTAAATTTAAAAAAAAAAAAAGAATGAATAGTTCAAATAAATCATTGGAAAAAATATGCCCTGGTTCTTAATGTCTCCATTGGGTCAGTTGAGGAAAGTTTGCCTAGCTTTTAACTGAGAGACAAACAATGAAGCATGTCTTCATTATAATCTGACAATTTCTGCCACTGTTTTGTAATCTAAAGCCCTTTTTTCTCTCCCAGGCACCAAGTGTGATGGAGATGGTAAGGATAGCACAGAACAGAGCAAGGTTCAGATCTGCTGTTTACAGGATTGCTATGAGTTGTAGTCAACTTGACAGCACTCACCAATAACAACAGGAAGGGAAATACAGAAAGATGAAAGATGGAACTGGAGCTGTCTTGCAGAGGCTTTCTGAAAGTCTTTCCTAGATAATGATGTGCCCTTACCTCGATGTGTGTCAATCTCCTGCTTCTTCAAGTGCTTCCCCTGCTCCTCTGAACTGCTAACACCAGGCTCAGCGTCAGAAAGACTGTGGCAGCTGGATTCCAAGGATTCATCTATTAACTGTCTAACTGGTTGGAGATCACTAACTATCACAAGGTATAAAAACAAGGTTATGAGAACATTGTTGAGGTATTTCATATCATTTAAGAAAGCGGGGTGTATTTTAAACCACATTAAAATGCAACCATTTTTAAAAGTTGTTTTAAAAATCTATTAGAATTAAGCAGCTCCCAAGCTATGATTTCAAAAAGAGTACAGCACACACAAGTGATCATGAAGTGAAGAGACCCATGCAAAGAAATTGTTTCAATAAAATAAACAACCATTCAAAACACTAGTGACAGATTGGCAAACACATATGCAATGGATTAATGGGAAGAGCCATTTAGTCACCCTTTCATATCTAGAAATATGCACTGTGGCTTTTGTGAAATTGTCATCACTGCTCTTTAAAGTTGTTTAAAGTGCCAGAGCTGACTACACTATAAACATTTCATCAATTAGTAGATTTTAATGATTTGACCCTGATATTCACTCCTTAAGGACAGAAGCAAAGAGGCTATTATACAATTCCTATAGATTGTGCATTAAAGTTTACTGTAGAAATTCTTGTTTTCTGTAGCTAATTAGCAATATACACTCTAAAATTATGGAGGCCTAAGTTCAAATTCAGTATCACTTATATGTCATTTTGAGCAGATTTTTTGTCTCAGCTTCTGTTTACTCATCTGTCAAAAACATAAAATCTACTCAGTGGTTATTAGGAATAGTAAATAGAGTGTGTATGATTATAAGCAAGTGTCTAAGTCCTTTGTCTGCAATAATGGTGATGATGATAATGAGAAGAATCTAGTTTGAACATCATCAATCTGCTATGAAACTGAGGAAAATTTTAAGGTCAACTAAGTTTGTCTTTAGTTTCTGCCACCTCCTTGTCTACGTGCCTTACCCATAATTTACCTTCCTAAATCCACCAATGTCTACCACAATGTTACATTCTAGTTGACAATATCTGACTCAAGTAGGCTAGACTTAGTTCTGCCTTTTGGGGAAGTATGTCTCTGAAATATTTTACTTCTTCCTTGTCCACTAAACATTTCATTTTACTACTCTAGTAAACAAAAATTCCAACAATACAATAAGCCTAATAATAAGCTGAATGTATCAACTATGCAACCACTACCTTCCTTTTAAAAAAGATCAGAATTAATGGCAGAATTTTAGAGGGATAGAATTTTAGAGGGCAATTCTACTGTAAAATTATTACCAAGCAAAAAGCCAGCCTGTCCTATAAATGGGTAGATACTCAGAGAGAGTGATTTCAAATTTGTTAGTCAGCACAAGCAATGACAGGACAAGTGTTCAGAAAGCAGCTTTCCAGGGATATACTCCCAGATATACTGATTCAGTGAGTCTAGTGGCTAAGTGCCTACCTGGAAAAGTTAGCAGTTTGAAGCTACCAGATGGTTTTTGGAGAATATAGATGACACACTGTTCCCATAAAAATTATGACCTTGGAAATCTGATGCAGAACTATTCTGGCCTAAAGGATTTCTACAAGTTTATATCATTTCAATAGTAATAGGTTTGGTTTTCATGTTCATACCTGTGTACACTCTTATTCTGACAGAACAAGAGTCTAATGTTAATACTTGTATATACCCTTATTCCGATCCAAGGACTCTGCTTTGAGAAGTATGGAGTTATCTTGTGATCTCCTGCTTAACCTAAGATTGTTACTTACCGGTCCCTCTGTGTTGATGAACAGATAGTAGGCTATCTGCCTCCTGTAGTTTTAAGGGGAAAAAAATGATGGCTACTGTATAATCTTAAGAAGCTAGATGTAGGTATGAATATATGAGGAGCATTATATATTTCAAATGTATTCTTTAAAAATTTTTGTTAGTTATTTTGGCTTCATTCATCCACTATTACTATACTATGTAAGATAGATATTGCATTAATAAAATCAAGAAATTATATCCATTTACAACAATTAAATAACTCAGTTTGTCATAAATCCAACTGCATTATAAACACAGAACACATACTTAAATACCATCTTACTCATTACCATTCTGGTCACAGTATACAAACAGAGTTTAAATTACCAGTGTCTTAAGTGTTTGTATGCAAATCTGCTTGGCTAACAGAGCAATGAAATCCTAATGGAGGGGGATGGAAGAAATCGGAATTACTCGCCAAGTCCATAAAGTTTTGTTTCCCAAATGTTAACATGACAACTACATTTTTTTAAGTACTCTGCAAGCTACAGAGAAATAAAGTTTACCATAAAACACATTATTAAAATAAGTAACTTGTAGCTATGGAAACAAAAGACTTATTCTAGAAGCCAAACAGTACTTACAGAATCTGAAAATTATGACCCACTCAGATTTCATACTGAAGCTTGCAGTGCCTCGGTCTCAGAACTGCCATCACCACGTGTTCACATCTGTAGACTTGGCCCTAGAAGTTTAGACTTTGGAAGTGGTGGACAGCCTGTATAATTAAGTGTGGCCTTATTCTATTCAGGAAGAAATGGACCCAGGTCTAACCATCAAAGATTTAGTGGATGTGAGACCCAAAGAAAGTGCCTCACTTGGTCACGTTTTTCTCAGATGTCCTGAAACTGAAACTTAAAAGCAAGAGCTTGGCAGGTTTCTAACCTTCCGTTGTACCCATAGTAAAGGATGACTGTGCACGGGGAATCTCTCAAGTCAGTGATGTGACACATCACTTAGCTGCTTCTACCCATGTTGCCTTCATGCCTTAGGCATCCTCTCTTTGACCACTTTGTACAGGTTACCATTAAAGGCTGCAGTAATTGCCAGTTTCCACAGTAACAGAAGCAAAATGTGATGGTTTCATAGTGTTTTCTTAGAAAAACACCTTTCTGCTCCTATGATCAAGGATATTTTAAATATTTTAAAAACACCAAGGTAGATATTTATTACAATATTAGGTTTTGGTTATGAAATGATTTAAAGATTTATAAAATATTCCAATGTATCACCCTAAATATGGAAATGGTGTGTGTGTGTGTGTGTGTGTGTACACACACATGCATACATAAAAGTACAACAAAGAAAAGGAAATTATTCATATTTTTGCCACTAAGAACAACTAGTTATTACTTTCATGGATATCTAAGTACTTTTTATTCTACTCTAACTGTAAACATAATTTTTCCATCCTTATGCTATTTATTATAAAGTTATTTTCTTATGTATTAAGCCTAATTCAAGGGCTTTATTGTTGTTATGTGCTATGGAGTCCCCTGCGACTCATAGTGACCCTATGTGCAGAAGCTCTGAACCCTGCCTATTCTGAGCCAATCTCACTGTCTCCAACATACCTACCCTCATTATCCCAGTTACTGTATCAATCTGTCTCATTCAGGGTCTTCCTCTCCTGTTGTCCCTCAACCTTTCCAAGCATGATGTCCTTCTCCAAAGAACTGGTCCCTCCTAGTAATATGCCCAAAATATATGGAATGGAGCTTCAAACTCCTTGGTTTCACCCTCTCCAGGACAGTCCTGTTTCTTCTCTTGGTAGTCCATGATACGTTCAATATTCTTCTCCATCACCACAACATAATGGCATTAATTCTTCTTCTGTCATCCCTAGTCATTGTCTAGATCTAGCTGGACAATTTGACAATTGTGTTAGTGCTTTATGGTCTAATATTCTCCTCCTGTCTTCTCTTCAAATCCCCTTATACGTATTTCTTTCTTGGCAATCATTTTCCTTTTATTTCAATCTGCAGTTTTATTTTTTTTTTGCTTTATTTTAGAATCTATATTTTCTTGAATTTAGGCTTTATTCAAATTTTGCTTCTGATATGTATAGAAAACAATAGTAATAAGTAAACTGGCCTGTTACTTTAGGGTCTTTTTTTTCCTTTCTAGTATGTTAAAGAGTTAATCTATTGCATCTATATTAATATTTTAGAACAGCATCAAGCAATATGTTAGATGGAGGAAAAAATAAAATTGTCTAATTGTTTCATCTTACTTGAATCCATAACCAATACTCTTGGTACTAGAAGTCAGGAGTTAAGATACATTTCATTGGGAAAGTCTGAGGTCAAGAACTTCTCCAAATTACTGAGAAGCAATGATGTTAGTTTGAAGACTTAAGGTGTGCCTGATATAAGCCATAGTCTTTTCAATCATTTGGTATATATCTGAGAATTGGCCAATGAATAAGGATGGCAGAAGAATTGATGCTTTTGAGTTATAATGTTGCAGAAGAGTACTGAATAAAGTCAGTACAGAAGAAACTTAATCCAATAGACTGCCAAGAAACCAAAAATATGTCTTAGAGAAAGTGCAGCCAGAATGGTCCTTGGAAACAAAGATAACAAAGCATCATTTGACATACTTTGGGTGTGCTTTTAGGAAGGCTATTCTAATTCTTTGAAATGGACATTATGAAAGGAAAGGTGTAGGGTAGGAAGGCTTCCAAAGAGGTAGACTGGCAGTGACTGCAGCAATGGGTCAGAAATGACGAAGATGCCGCGGGATAGGACAGGGTTCAGATCTGTTATTCATAGCGTCACTATAAGTTGAACTCAATTCAACAGCACCTAACAACATCAAGGAGCATTTCAGTATGTTTAACATAAGGTTAGTGATTAATTGAAGCTTAATCAATGGTACTCAATAAGAAAAACAACATTGATTTTTTTTTTTAGGAGCTTGTATGCTCTGATGGCCTAGTGGTAAGAAGCTGTGCTGCAATCCCAAAGGCACATGATTTGAATCCACCAGCTGCTCCTCAGAAGAAGACAAGCAATCTCCTCCTGTACTATTTACTGCTGCTGAAAACCTGCTGCAGTGTCAGCTGTAGATTGCTTCCTACTTGACAGTATTCAACAACAGCTACAAAGGAAGTTCTGTTGGCTTAGGCAGTAAGGTGTCATGCTTTCAACACAAAGGTGAATGGGTCATATCCAGGTGCCCCATAGAAGAAAGCTGGACAACCTCTTCCCATGCAATTTACAGCCTCTAAAACCCACCAAAGGGTTAATAGCAATGAGTTGGCATTCTCTTAGATACAAACGTTTAAAGTATTTGGTTGT